TGCGGGGGGGGGGGGGGAAAGGACAAAGAAACACTGAACAGCAGACTCTGTACAAAGAAGAACGCTTTAAATTTACAGGCGAAAACCAGCAGGAAGAACTTTAAATCTTCATCTTATGCTGAAGATTAAAGCTAGAACATGTTATGCTGGAAATTCCTGCGTTATACTGGTGCAAGAAAGGAACTTGACAAGTTACCAGTACTGAAAAACTGCTTATTGCCAGAAGTTTGGCTCTAACAGCACAAGAAGAACCACTTCCCAGCATGGTAACTTCACACAGAGAAACATCTTTTTACCATAAACCAGGTACAAGTCGGACCAAGTACCAGCTGACTGGAGAATCAGAAGCGTTGGAAGCCAGACCTGCACCACAACAGGAGGGCAGAACTACACTTTTAAGATCCCCTTAACAGAAATCTTCTGTCACATTGAGCTCAAAACCATCTTTGTGTCTAGAACTGAGCACATGCAAAAAGAAAGGTACTCCATGAGCATGAGAACAGCCAAAGCCTGGCTTCCAAAAGCTTTGTTTCCTCATGGTTGACAGTGACTCTGACAAACTCTCAAGTAGGAGTCAGAATACATCTGCCCTGTGTGGATTCTCTGCCCAAAAGGAATGAGACTGCAGAACTGCACTTCTGAAACAAGGTGAAAGAATTCCCAAGCAAAGAAAATCTCAGCTGTGGACTGACTGCATTACCTACCATTTCCCAAACCCTAACTCCAAATGAGCACACACTCTCCAGCTCCTGCCTGCATGGATTGTTTGAGATCTACCTTGTCCCAGAGCCGCCGACAGGCTCTTAAATGCCTCTTTTCACAAACATGTCTTGGGTTCTGAAGCTACATTCTAGTAGCATTGATGCTACTAGAAGTAGCAGGATAGACCAAGAGCAGACCTTTAGAGCAAGACTGACCTGCCAAGGTGTCCGCACTACACCTTATTCCAGGAAACTATTTCAAACTTAAGCCTGCTCTTGCCCACTGCCAAGCCAGGCAAACACCCAGACACAAGACTGCATCTTATGGCTTAGTGTCATCTAAAGGGAACCCCAAACAGGTTCCAAACCTACAAGATATAAGGGGGGGACAGGTGGCAAATCCAATCCCCCCTAAAAAGTAACCTCAAACTTCCACACCTGAGCAACCTGACAGCAACCAAACACTTGGACAAAAAGCGAGTGCAGGAAAAGAGCAATCTCCTGATTATTTTTAGCCCAATTTAAGGAAAGAAGACTTAACATACACTTGCCCTCAACAACAAGCTAGAGCAACTCCAGCATAAAAGCTAACACAGTAATAAGGAGTTCCTCCTAATGTTATGCCAGAAAGCACACATACAAGTACAAACCAGATCCGAGTACAGAAGAGGTGAAAAGACTGATCACTGAAGTAGCAGGAAATGTTGGAACTTGTTATTCAACTGCTTTACAGGAAGTCCTTTGCTATCTAAGTAAACAAGGCCGATGGGGAGTGTACAAGTCAGCTTTTCAGAACAACTGCCAGACAGATTCTCACTCCAGGTTTTTCCTCTGCTCATTCATCAACATCAAAGAGAAAATTCCACAGGCCAAATTAGGCCTTGCATGCATTTGAACAGTTACAATATCAAGATTATGTTGTCAAGCTTTACACTGGGGCAGGATTTAGGTTTAAGGCAGTTAAACCACGTGAGGCAGGGAAAACAAACCAGCTTGCTTCTCAAAGAGGAACCTGCTTCCACAGACCAGAAGGTGCTACCTTGAAAACACCACTCTTGACTATAACCACTCTTTGAAGTGGCATGCTCAGCCTTAGCAAATGCTGATTAATCCTACCTGCTACTCTAATACCATATTGGATGCTTTGCAAAGGTAAGCAAATAGGAGCTCTATCTCCAGGCTAAACTTCAAAACCAGCACTGAGGCAGGGGAAGAGCACCCATCAGAAGCAAAGCGAAGATGTATTCTGTGCAGAGCCAGAGATAAGATTTTCTCCTGAGCT